TATATATATATATATATAATATATATATATATATATATATATATATATATATATATATATATATATATATATATATAGAAATATATACATATATAAATATATATATATATATATATATATATATATATATATATATATATATATATATATATATATATATATATATATATATATATATATATATATATATATAATACAGTTATTTCCTTAAATACTGTTATGACTATTTCCTTATATAAGTGCAATTTCATTAATTATTTTGTTATTTACTATTTTTCTGACTATATATATATATATATATATATATATATATATATATATATATATATATATATATATATATATATATATATATATATATATATATATATATATATATATATATATATATATATATATATATATATATATATATATATATTATATATATATATATATATATAATATATATATATATATATATATATATATATATATATATATATATATATATATATATATATATATATATATATATATATATATATATAGTCAGAAAAATAGTAAATAACAAAAAAATTAATGAAATTACATTTATATAAGGAAATAGTCATAACAGTATTTAAAGAAATAGTCATATATATAAGTCAGATATATAAGGAAATAGTCATAACAGTAAAAACAAATTTTTATATGGAAAAAAAGTTGAAGCAATGACCAGAAAAATATCATACATAAAGAACATATTTATCTGAAGTTTAGAAAAAAAATTATTAAAATCCTACAGTCAGATTTTTAGAAAATTGATTTCAAATAAATAAACAAATCTATGATTTACACTAAAAAAGTATTAAGTAAAAATACAGTTTTAGCGCGCAAAGATTTTTGTTACCTCTATTTATTTATATTTTTGTGAAATTTTTGTATTGTTTTATTGATTTACGTTAAAAATAAGGCTATATCATTGGCTTTTCAGAAATTAATTAACAAATAAACTGTTGCCATATAAAATATTCTCTGTAGTTAAGAACCGTAGCCATTTTAAAAGTTCAAAAGTTTTTTGTATTTTCTTACGCATGCGTACCTAAACATAGCGCTTTTTACTAATATCTAAACGACCGTAATTTGAAATAGCATTTAAAGCGGATCGCTTTTCGCATTCAAAATATTTTTTTGATTATATAAAGGTACTAGATTTTTATAAACTTAACATATTTAATGTTTTATGTTTTACTTTAATATGGTAAAACGATTTATCTTTATTTGTTTTTAACGACCTTTTTTCTTTAAAACCAATAAATAAATACGCATTAAGAAACAATAGTTTTTTAAATGAACTTTTTTGTAGAGCAAAGTTCAATCAATTTTGCATTGCATATCGTGCACCGCATCTTTGGAATCAAATAGTATTATCAAACTTTGATCTTTCTATTACTCTTCCTAATTTTAAAACTAAATTAAAAAAATTCATTCAAACCTTGTTTTAAATTGTTGGTACGCTGAATTGTATTATTTACGTAATTGTATTACTACGCATATTATTATGTATCATGATTAACATTGTAAACTGAGAGAATAAAAAAAATAATTTAGTATATGAAAAAGTTGAATGTTTAAATAACTCATAGCCCTCACGTTTGAGGAGTGGGGAGGGGGAAACATTTTAGGGTACTTTTGTTCCCAGGCTTAAGTCACCGCTATTTTTTGAAAAACATTCTCATTAGAACATAACTAAATTTAGAGTTCCACAATTTTTTGAAAGTGTCATATCTGAAACACGAAAAAAATCCGGAAGCGCCAATTTTGAAAGATTACCTGTCAAACAGGATACAATACATAGCTAATGATAAAAATGAAACAGAAAAACACATCCAATGTGGTGCTCCATAAGGATAAATTTCAAGACCAATTTAACTTTTACTATATAAAATCAATATATACTTAGGATCAAAAGATTTCAATCTTTTTTATTCCGACTAAGACATAATATTCTTTTTAGGATATTTATAAAATGACTAGAATTTAAAAACTATAAATGAAATAACTTTACCAACGCCCACATTATAATGCCTGATAAAGCAGCCATTATAACTGTCAATACAAGCACAGGCCACCCTTGTAACACAGCTGATATTACTGCACTTGCAGATTGTCCAACTTTAACATTTTTTTGTATATAAATAACACCAGGGGATTCTACAATCGGAAAATACGGATAATTTTGGAATGTAGTTGTAATCATATCTCCATATATCGGGAATGCAATATCTGAATAATTTGCTCCTAAAATAAATAGATTTACACAAAAAGTTAGTTATAAAATATAAAAGTTAACTATTACATATATATTTAACTAGAAAATAACGTATTATGTAAAATATACGTAACAACGTATAAAACGTATGCACATTAGGGTTGTTAACCGGAGGATTTCGTGCAATTCCGTAAAAACAACATTCTTTCGTAAGGAGATTGAGAACGAGGAATTACATTTTTTCGTACCGAATGTTACAAAACATTTAAAATCGCCGATGTTCATTTCGCAAAATTCACTTCCGAAATTTAGCATTTCGCAAGTTGACATACGAAACAAAACTATTTTGCAACATACGAAAGTACGGTTTCGGAAGTCGCACTTGCGAAACAAACATTGTCGCTAATCGACGTTTTGAAGTCTATAAAGAAATTTTGTTTGCCAGACTGATTTTAATTGTAAAAATTAGCATCTTTAAATCCCAAAATTGATGTGTAGAAATATTCATGTTTTTTTTTTTAAAGCATATGAAATTTTTGAAACAGGTTCGAATATGCTTAAGCAAATAGTAAAAAGAGGCTCAAAAATATGTTTTAGCCTAAGCATATTTCTGATAAAATATACCTATTTCAATAATTTCTAAAAGTGTGCACGTTACTAAAGTTCTAGCAGATTTTAAAGGTATTTAGAGTCCTGTTTGAATACGCTTTTCGAAGTATAGATCTTAGAAAATATTGTTTTTTAATTTTAATAAGATATAAATTTGAGTATAAGATTGTATAGTTCAATCAGTTAGATACGTGATAATTCGCCGCAGAGATCCGGGTTCGCATCCCGCAGCCATTGTAACTTTTGTTCATCAAACTCTTTTTACTTAAGATAGCATTTTTTTACCTCCATGTTCTATATTACAGATCTTTCGTCACCTTCACAATAGTGACAACCTCTCTTTAATTTAAGATTGACTCAAAATGATTCATATTATTTGAAAAAGTTGTTTTACGTACATTTCATCATAATTTAAGTAGAACTTAGTAAAGCAAGGGAAACGTGTTGAATTAAGCACAATGAACTCAATCTTAAAAGAATAACTGTTAGTTATTCTTTTAAGATTGAGTTCATTGTGCTTAATTCAACACGTTTCCCTTGCTTTACTAAGTTCTACTTAAATTATGATGAAATATACGTAAAACAACTTTTTCAAATAATATAAATCATTTTGCTTTAAATCTTTTGCTTTTTGTACTAGACATCTGTCCTAAATACTTTGTAATAATTTCTAGCTAACTCTGAGTCTAATATAACCATTTCTGAATATAACTTCCCTGAGGCTCCTACAGCCTATTGTGTTCCATTAAAAGTAACTAGTTTTTGAGTCCAGATATTAATTATAAGCATCTAATTGTTCACATTACTATTCATTTTCCTGATATATAGAATCCTATTTGCATACGTATCTCTTTCTGTAAATTCTGCTTTATATAGTTTCTTGATTATATATTAAATAAATATTACTATTCACTTAGTTGAATGAACGTATAGCTCATTCAGTTAAGACATTTGGCCGCGTAGACCCAGGTTCACATTCCGCTGTTTCACATATATTTCTTCTCTTTTTACTCTTTCTGATATCATTTACTTTTAGAGAGATCTCTCGTTCTTTATAATAAAGTATTTAATTGTTTATCACACATCCTCTTTATACTTTTTAAAAAGAAAGGCATGCTGTTTATCTGTTCATTGAGAGTCCAACTTAACGGGATTTTACTGTATATATATGTATATATTTATATTTATATATATATATATATATATATATATATATATATATATATATATATATATATATATATATATATATATATATATATATATGTATATATATATATATATATATATATATATATATATATATATATATATATATATATATACAGTAAAATCCCGTTAATGTATATATATATATATATATATATATATATATATATATATATATATATATATATATATATATATATATATATACATATATATATATATATATATATATATATATATATATATATATATATATATATATATATATATATATATATATATATATATATATATATATATATATATATATATATATATATATATTAGGTATATTTGTATAAACATTTGAAGAATCATTTGACAACATTTTTTTATAATTTTATTATTTATTATTTAAACTGTTAACAGTTAATATCTTAAATATATCGTAAAATAAAATCTTTTGCGTCTTTTTCGTAACTACACATTCTGAAATGCTTTTTCCGTAAGGAACTATTTCGTAAGTATTCTTACGAAATGATTTGTTTCGCAAGTTTTCTTTCGCAATGCTTTATTACGGAATTTTATTTACTATTTATATTTTCGTATAGCGCGTTACGGAATGTGCATTTTTGCATGTGCAACTTCCGCAATAACAATTCTATTACGGTAGATAAAGATGCGAAATTTTCGCAAGTTTTGTTTTTCGGCGAACAACCCTAATGCACATAGGCTTTAGTACGTACTTAGTAAACGCTTGTGCTTAATTAATTAATTAATTAAATATATTAGCTAGTTTAAACTTTTAGTTTAAACATATTTTTCCAAATATATTCACACAAACACCAATCAAATAATTAATCAAAATAATTTAATATATGTTGAATATAAATTTATAGTATTATTTTTTCAAATAAACTTACACACGCTCCAATAAAAAGCACACAAGTAATTAAAAAATAGGTATTAAATAAATCTTAATAGAAACGTTTAATAGAAAGAGAAGTAATATTGCGGTAAACGCAATCTTTTCGGCGTGGATGAAAACAGTAATATTTCGTTTCAGCGTAGATGAAAACGGTAATATTTTGTTTCAGCGTGGACAAAAACGGTAATTCTTTGGTTATTATTTTGACATACATTTGACATGAGCTTTGGATGCACATTTTGTTTTGTAAAATGTCCATACAAAGCTTTTTTAATTATTATAATTGCCTGACAGCACAAGCAATTAAAATTTTTTGCTTAACTTGGAGAAGATAAAAATATGTTGGTGCTTTAATCTTTTTTGGAACATCAAATTTCTCCGAATCCATGTTGACATTGCATCGAAAGTTGTATTTAGTATCTTTAAAGATTCCGTTCAAATATAATAATTTTTCAAAAAAAAAATTCACGGAAGAGCCAACAAAAGATTTTTAAATTATATGAATGTTATTAAACAAAAAAATATTGTTAAAAAAGGTAGCTTTTTGTGCCTTTTTCTTAACAAAACTATAGATTACTGTATCAAAGCCCATATGTTTTGCAATATCAAACTCGCAAGGTCGTTAAAGCAATCCTGACTAATGATGACTGAGAAAATTTTTTATAAGTTTTAGCTTGCAGACATTTCTTTCAGCTGATGCTTCTGTTCCATTTTAAAACATTTATGTTTAAAGTCGCTTTACTTTTATTTTGTCCCATGTAACTGACATAATGATGAAGGTAAAGGTACTGATATAACAAATTTCTCCACAAATCTTGTTTCTTATTTTGAAGTAAGATTTAGCTGAAACAAGTTTTCCAAAACCAGCTCTGCTGTTGGAAGATGTGATACAATTGGTTTTATTCTCTTAACGCAATTTGACCATTTGGTGCCAGATATGTTATGAAAGAAACAAACAGCACAATAGTTGCTACATAAGTTAAGTATGTGGCAGCCACAACTAAAAGACATAGCAGTAAGACATTGCTTTTTTAGTATAGCTTGTGGTGGCAATGATAAAAATAGCATAGATGCATCCTTGAGAAGCGATGCATGATTTTTACTCAAGAGCCTAAGTTTATCTTTATATTACATGCACGGTCCCTATATTTTATTGTTATTTTTGTACTATACGCTTTACTATAGTGTCTTTATTTTATATAGCACTAATAATATTTTACATAGCACTAATTTCTAATTTTTTTTTTGTAATCACATATTTCGAAACCAATTTTGTCACTACAATCTACAAATTTCAAATTTGTTTGAAACTTGAAAATTTCAAAATCGTTCCACATTTTCATCTCGTAATATATGGCAAACTAGGTAAGGCAAATAAATGTTGGCTTGCTTGATATGAGATTAAACTGTTGTAAAATTTAAAACTATTGTATAGTGCTTTGCACAACTCATTTCTTCAAAAACATGCTGCTTTAAAGGATTTGAACATTCTGCAATAAATTCATTTTGTGAATCATTTGAGAGGTAATGTACTTGCAGTCTTTTGCCCTTTTTTTGTGACTACTTTTAGAACGTGTTTTTTTAGCTCTCAGATCCCAAAAAAGCAACTCTATCAAATCTAAATGGTTTCTAGTAACCAATGTGTTGTGAATTTTCCTGGAACGCAACGCTACATTCTTCTAAGAAAAGGATAACGTCAATATATATTTTCTTAAAAATTGGTACCACTTTTCTACTTTCATTCCATTATAATAGATAATTCTATAAATTTTTTAATTTGACAAACGCCTTTTTAACTCACGCCATGCGTCTTAATTCTCTATGCCTATAACTTTTTTCATGATTTGGAATCATGTTACGTAAATTCTACCAATTAGCACTGGCTGACCAGCCTTCAACTGTAGTAAATGCAGGTTTGGAAACAGTACTAAGCTTAGAACAGACGCTGTTCTAAAAAACCGGCAAAGAGAAATAACACAAAGAGTTCTTACACTTCCTCCAGACAAGCTTGTCTTAGGTACACTGTTCTATATTAATGTTACTAAACTTAAATATATCTTTAGAAAATTGTTGAATATCATCATCTTTCGGCAATTTTAAAACTAAGTTAATATGACCTCTATTTATACAAATTGTTTGATGGGGAAAAGATTACTACATCTGTCCAACAACAATCCGTGGAGTAGTGAAATAACATCCGCACATTTTTGCGTAAGATCATCCGCTTTTTTTCTTTACTGAATTAACATCTGTGCAACAACATCCGAAATTTCATTGATGTCTAATAACATCTTTAGAAAGTTGTAACTACATCCGAGAGTTTTTCTCGATGTGTAACTACATCCGCCTAAATAATGCATTATTAAATAAAATAAATTTTCGGACGTAGTTACATCCGATAAAAATCAGATGTGTAATTACATCTGGTTAAAGTAATGCATTATTAAAAAAAAAAATCCGGATAAAGTTACATATATAATTATTATATTATGTAAGTGCTGCTACATCGACTGACAAATAGCCTGACTCGCAACGAAGTGCTGCTAAATCGACTGACAAATAGCCTGACTCGCAACGGAGTGCTGCTACATCGACTGAGGGTTAGGCTTGGGCAGGCAGTATATCAAATAATTTAAAAAAGGAATTTATTAATGCTTAAAATAATGCATTACAATAATTTTTTTTGGCGGATGTAGTTACATCCGAAAAATCTACAGATGTAGTTGCACGGATGTTATTATACATCAATGAAATTTGGGATGTTATTGCACGGATGTTATTATACATCGATAAAATTTCGGATGCTGTTTCACGGATGTTATTATACAAGGCAAAAACGGATCTTATTGCCCTGACCCGTTTGATGTAGCAAAACACTACTTAGTTTAATATTTTTTGTAGCACCAAAAAATCTCGGTCTCGGTTCTGGATCGATATCTTAGTTTATCGTATTTGTAAGTTTTTTTTTCAACTACAACTTCATTTTAGCGATGGGTATCTTTTTCATTAATGCCAACTTCATTATTTTTTTTTTTTTTCAGAAACAGTATCTGTATTTGTTTCTAATTCATATTGTTGTTTTTTTATACTCAATTAAACAAGTGTCTGTATTCATTTTCTTTCATTGCCAATGCGTTTCTTTTTTCTTTTTTATACTCGCCGTTTACGTATTTACATATTTCTCGTACGTAAAAACTTAAAAATATCAAGTTGATAAACTTCTGAAAATTAAAAAAAAAAATTCTTGGATTTAAAATATTTTAATTTTATTTACAATTTGCATCGATCCATCTTCGACAGGATTAAAAAGTTGGAAACAAATTAATATATAAACTAAAGAAAAAACTAAAAAAAGTCGCTTATTTCTAAAGTTTTTTTGATTTAATAAGCTTTAATATTAACATGGTTTAAATCAATCAGGCTCTAATAATAAAGATACTAAAAATTGGTAGTTCAATAAAAAATTTAGTGTTTTATACCTTATTACGTAAATGACATTCAACAAAAAACTTAGTTAAAATTAAAAAAATATTATTCATAAAGGCCGTTTTCCACAAGACGAAAAATTCGCGCAAAGTGATTTTTTCGTCGATAAGCATGCGCAGATTAAACATATTTGGCAATTACGCTGATTTTTTTTCGATACGGCGTTTCGCTAAAGTGAAAAAAAAAAGTCGGATTCATTTCGACTTTTAGCGAATCGCCATAAGAGAAAACCAATCAAGTTTTGAATATTATATCACGTGATGTCAACAGGAAAACATGTTGTTTTTAAAGTAACAAAAAAACAAAATTCTTAACATGGCTTTCTTATTAATTTTATATTTACTTACTCTGGCAAGCATGAGTAAATTCATCAAACAAGGAGCAAGACTTATATAAAAAAATAACCAGACTTATATATAAAACTAAATCGAGAATTTACAAGTATAAATTTTCACACTGTCAATTACGAAAGTCACACTTCATAAGAATGTTTATTTTCAAGTGGCCATACGAAGAAAAACCTTTTTGTGAAAAATCCTACATAGAGTTAAACCTACTGTTCATATCAAAGTTTAGCATTTATTTTTTTACACTTTCTTGTAAAAAAATAACCTTATATTAAATGATTATATTACAAAATGAAATTACATCTTACATATAAAGACAGAAATGTTAATAATAATTTAACGTCAGAAATTTCACATGCTTCAAAGTAAAAAGTATTCTAAAAAAGTAATAACTGCTTTTAGTTAAAAATACAGCGTAAACTTATTGCAGCCATTTTTATAGTTTAAAACGAAAAAAAAGTAGCGCGAAAGAGAGTAAGTAGAAATCAAAACAGCGTGTCGTCAAAGCGAAAAAATTCGCGAATATATCGTCTTGCGGAAAACGGCCTTAAGCCCTAAACTCTTATGGGCTCTAGTGCGGCGCATAGGGCTGAAACGGATAAAACTCAAAACTTTTTATTAATTTTGAACAATTCGATTTTGTACAATATAGTTTTATAAAAATTTGAAAATGAAAAAAGCTAATTTTTCCGACGAAAGCTTTTTTTTTTTTTTTTTTTACCTCGGTACGGCCCTGATCATATTTTAAATTTATTCTTGAAAGCTTTTAAAATTTTAAAAACTTTTAAAAAACAAAGCATTTAAGTCAGAATGTTTTTTAAAAAATGTGCTGCTTTGAAAATAGCGTCACAAATATCTATGATATTGACCACACGCCCAATAAATAATACCGAAAAATAGGAAGAAATTTTCTAAAGGTTTACGCATATCTTACAATTTCAAGAGAAATAAATTTAATAATAACTTTAGTTTTCTTTCTCAATTTTTTAAATTACTTAATTTTTTAATCTTTGCAAAAAGCGAAGAGAAAAAATAAAATCAACTGATTTTACGCTTTCGAACTGTAAAATTGTCGAAATAAGATAAAATAAGGAAATCGTTGAAAGTAAATAAAGTTATGACTGTGTATAGTAAAATTTAATAAAAGGAACTAAATAAAAGGTAATAAAAAAAAGAATAATTAAAAATAACTATTTATAACTAAATTTATTATTAATTTATCATATGTCAATATTATTGACTTATGACAATTATATAATACTGTCATTAAATAAAAATCATTTATTTATTTGTTTATTATATTATTTTATTAAAAATTTTATTCTAAATTTCATTTATTAGCTTTTTTCTATTATTTTTTTTAAAGAAAAAAAAAAGAATCATTGAAATTTTTTGCAAAGCATCCTTATTTGACATAAGTATAAACACGGTGTGTTGCATTTAAAGTTTAATTTGTAAAAATTTATGTATATATGTTTTGTAGTTGCATACTTTACTTTCAAAGGATTTGAAAGTGCAGTTTGTATATTTAATTAAAATTGGTTATAACATTTGCGGTTAATACTAATATAAACAGTCTTCTGTTTTAAATTTTATAACTCAGATTTTTAATTGTAAATTAAATGCTTTAAAAATGGAGCATGTTACTACGAAACATGTCAAAATTAAAGAACATCGCGTTTTTCATAAAAACACATATTTTTTTCTAACGTTAATCTAATTTCAAATCTCACCAATTAATGCTTTTAACGCTTCTGAATCGCTTACAGGAAGGTTATAAGTGAAGTTGACACAATCTCCGCAACAAGATCGAACAGCGGTTTCAATGATACTTTTAAAAATTGTTTCGTAGGGTTGTACATTCCAGTATTGGATGTTTATATTTAAAGAACACTGACTCAAACTAAGTTGTGTATTGTTTGGACACGGATCTAAATAAAAATTGAAAATAATAACAAATATATATAGTAAACTAATTTATTAAAAGAAAAAAATTTAGTAACTTTAATAACTTCAAACCTGCAAGAAGTCCTTTAATATAAATAAAAAAGACTATGAAATTAAAGGTTTTCATTTTTTTTTTTTTTTCAAATCACAACATTCGCGTTAAGTAAAGTTTATGATAAAATTAAAAATCGGCACTCTATTGATAACTTCGTGGTTAATTTATTTTAAAAAAATTAATATTTTATATGGTTGATTCAATATTCTGCTAAAGGTTTTTGAATAAAAAATCCTTTTTTTTTTATTTAACTGTTATTTTAGTGTAGTTGACCAACGTATTATGTCATTCTTTCTCAATTTAAAAAAAATATTTTCTTCATATTTTTCGATAATAAAGCAAATAATCTTTCTAAATTCAAAAAAGAAAAAAAAAAAAAAATAATAATTTTTATTTAATTTTTAATTATAAACAGAATGCATTAATCATTACTTGACAACAAATTCTATGGCTTGCAGAAATTCCTAAGTAACGCATAGATAAACTAACTGTTGCTGACTTGGCCATTAAAGAAGACCAATATATTTATGTTAAACAACATATTAAATTTTTTTGAGTCGTTTAGTTAGGTAATTTTATAAAATTGAATTAATTTGGAATTAATTTGCTTGTTAATGTTTTTGCAAACCATATGATGATGAACCGAACCGGCACATCTAGTTTCTTTTTCAGAATTAAAACCTCTATAGGCACGTGTTTGTCATGATGCAGGTGTAAACCAAAAAGACGCGTATATTACAGGCAGTTTTACTCTTTTCACATTTCTTACAGAAATTTATTATAATATAATACTACATTTCTGTAACAGTGAAGCCATTAATATTTTTAACTGGTATTTTTGTAAATAGTAATAATTAATTTCACGGAACGAAAATCATTTTGGCATGTGTTATTATAACCTTTAAAGGATCGTGTTTGCCACGATCCAGGTCTAAACCAAAAAGACGCGTTTATTACGGGCAGTTTTAGAATTTGTTTTAAAAGGTTTTAAACACACAACAGAAACAAAGCGTAACTTTTTTCTGAGTTGTACTGAGACTGGGAACCCAATAAGTATTTTATAATCCTCCACATTTCCATTTCCCATTATATCAATGTATATTTAGTAGATTTCCCGTTCATTTTTCATTATACCAATGTATCAAAGGGTTCAATTTATTAAAGAATTTTTTTAAGTTTACTAAAGAAATTTTTTAAATTCACTAAAAAAAATTTTTCATAAAATATTTTTGCTTTTTTTTGTTAATGATTCGAAATTTAAAAAAAATTTTTTTTTCCTATTTTAACATAAAAACATAAAAAAAAGCAGGATATTCCTATTTTCAAAACTATTTTTATTTCGTTCCCTGAATTTATGAGATACCTAGATTTAAATTGGGCGAATTACATTAACAGATCACCAGCAATGGCTTAAAAAATTTAGAATTTTAGAATGATTAGAATTTTAGAAAAATTAGAATTTTAGTTTACAACTGCAAACTAAACTAGCATGTTGTAGCTATATCATTTGAAAATGGTCTAAAAATATCGTGTTGCTGCTTGTAATTCTATGATTCAGTTAAAAAAAGACTACTGTTTAAAGTAGAGCGGGGGTATTTGAGAATAACGAAAAATTGGGCAATTAAATTATTTCAAAAACTACCGTAGAACGGGGTGACTTTGTTAGGATTTTGAGCATTTTTTTACTAAATTAGAACACAACATATTAATAAACTTATAAGATTTACTGGTAAAATTATAAATTTAGACAACAAGTTTGGTTATCGAATATATCTACAGAATGGACAAAGAAAAAACAAAAATAAATTTGATGTTAATATGCTAAACACAGAAAAATAATATATCAATAACAATGTTATAGTAATTAGCAGTTATAAAATAACACTAACAAAAAAATAATACTAATTGCATATAAACATCAAGTACTTATAATATCCTTTAGTTGTTAACTCAATTCAAAATTAAAAAGATATCAAAAAAAAAAAAAAAAACATATATATGTGGTATATTCCAGTGGTATTATAACTGGAAAATACCACTTGAACATCTAAGTATAGATTTTTAGAAAAAAAAAATTTCAAAAAAATTAAAATCACAAGATTTTTTTGCATTTTTTGGTACGTGTAAAAATCGTTATTTTTTTTAGAATCACTTAGATTTTAATTTAGAATCACTTCACAATCATTAAAATTTCAAAAATATTAGCAGAATATAATTATGTACAAGAATAAAAAAAAAAAATAGTCTCTAATTGTGCAATTTTACATTCAAATCATTATTTTTGTAACTAACAGACGAAATTATCAAAGTCACCCCGCGTATCAAAGTCACCCCGTTCTACGGTACGGATTGTACGACATTTCATGAATGAAAGCTATGGAATTAGAATGGTTGTTGGATAGCGAGTAAGATGCCATCCAACATGCATTCGAATAAGATGCCATCCAACAACTATTCTAATTCCATAACTTATTTTAAACTAAAAAAGTAAAAAAAAAAAAAAATTACTTTTTTTTTCCTTAGATACTTTAATTTTTTTTTATCTGCCGTGTTAATATTTTACTAATTTATCGGACTTTTGATTATAACTAGACGATTTTTCCAACGTCAACATCAACTGTACTCTTTAAAACTTAACTATTGTGCCAATTTGTCAAGCAGGGGGTAAGTTGAGTATCTTTGAAAAAAATAACTTTACTATTGAACATAGAGAAACAACTTTGTTAAAAAAGAATTTGTGGTTCATTATATAGACAAATATAAATATATTTTTTAATTTTATTTTATTAAATTGGTAGTTTTTATGTTTTATGACGATATTTTACTAAGTATTTTTTTCTCTTCTTACTCAGGGCTGACGACACCGGGGAAGGAGGGAGGGAGAGGAAACCGGGCGTCCTGTGCCCCCCTCCCCCAATTTTTTCGAATGGACTTTTTTTTTTTCCTCGGAAAATTCTAGACTTTTTTAAAAATCAACAATTGTATCCCTCCACTTCAAAACCCGTGTTCTTACTTACATCGTTAAAGTGTATTGGATAAAAAGTTTAAAAATTATAGACACGCTATGTTAACAGTAGATTTATTGATAAATCATGCAAGGTTCATGCATATTTATTTGTTTGTTGATTACTCAACTTGCTCTCCACAGCTTCTTAACTTACTCCGTTGAGAAAGACGTGAGCGCGTTTATCTGTTAATTTAGGCCGCCCAATTCAAAACTTATCTTATAAATTTATTTTATAAATTTAGGAGGCGAAATAAAAATAGTTTTAAAATTAGAAATTTCCTACTTCTTTTAAGTAGCAAGTTAGACAATATTTTCTCAAAGCTAGACAATATTTTCTCAAAAATAAATCACAAAAGTAGACTTTTTCATTAATCAATTTTTAGTAGGTTAAACTATCTTTCAAGGACTAATATAAAGTTATGTAATTTTGGTGCACCGTTTATGAGATCTGCTATCTTTAGTAAAAAATGCTCAACTAGCCCCACTCTATCCTACAGATTACTTTGAGATTACATTTCATCACTATAATAAAAGATAACAAAAGCTGAATCCCCTATAGAATCAGTTAATTAGGACAAACTTTCAGAGCTCGTAGAGCTTTACAAGATTAATTTATTTGAAAACTTGTGTTATTTGTTATTTCAAGAAAAACTACTTCAGTTATTTTTATATATTCGTTTGCTAAAGCTAGAGTTTAATGAAAATACTGGAAAAAAACACTGGCTCATTATTTCTTTTTTAATATTCAATGAGTATTTAAGGGACTTGACAATAAAACTGAATGTCTTCTTTTTATTCCAGCTGTGTATTTACACTTTTTTTCCAAGTATAACTTTGTATTTATATCAAATATCCCGGGGTTTTAACTCCCCCTGCTTCGCCCACCTTTTTCATTTACATTTTGTTTTTAAGGTGGCACACAACTGAAAACGTGTTTTTTTTCAATGTTTATACATTTTAGTAGTTTTTTTGTTAAAAAAATATTATCAAAAAGTATACATTTATGGACAAATTTCATAGAACATTTATGGATAGAAAAAAATAATTATTTTTTACATCCATAAATGTATTATGAAATTTGTGTTATTAGCAAAATATTAAAACCTAATATCATCAGTTTACCTCTGAAAATGAAACTAAAACTTTTAACAAAGTTTCCAAATTTTTTTCACTTTACTTAACGGTGGGATATTTTGTGACTCGAACTTTTTCTAAAAATGTAGGGTTATTTTAACAAAACCAATTTTTAGGTATATAAAATATTTATAGATCGACCAAATAAACCTCAATACATCACTTTCTTTAGTTTTGTTTTTTATTTTGTCAAATTAACTTTTAACAAAATGAAAAGCAGAGTAAAACCCTCCTTAAAAAACGTTTTTTTCAAACCTTTCAAAGTTTTGAAGCCTTATCTTTAATAACTGAAAAAAGTCTGCACATCACGTATAAAAACTGTTTAATTCACAAAAAAAAAAAAAAAAATCTGATGGTTGCTAAAGCGTTGTTATAACCTTTTGACTATCGCCTCAAGTTCTATTTAATCAATTCCTATAATGATTTTGCAACTAAGGAAATATGGATATAATATCCAAATAAACAAAAAAACAAAAACAAAAGAAAATCAAAAATCAAAATTGATTTTTTTTACAAAAAACTTTCAGTGGTGCGCCACCTTAGTTGCAATGACTGATAACTGGTAATTATGAAAATTATACTGAAATGAAATTCATTGTATGTATAAAAGTAATGAAAAATGATGCTAAATAAAAAAATATTTTTTGAAAATATTTTTATGGCAATACTTTCAACATCCCTAGTAAACACACAAACGTCTGTTAAACGTCAAAACAACGCTTCGGCAAAATGTTCAGATTTGTTTGATTATCCGTTTAGAAAGAAATCCAGATTAACGTTTAGGACAAACGTCCATAAACGTCTATATTCAAACGTATTTGAAACGTCTATTATAATTATACGTATATAAAGCGTTTAGATATTGTCTAACTTACCTTTAAATCTAGCCTAATTAACGTATATAAAGCGTTTAGATTTAGTCTAAGTAAACGTATATTAAATTTATTAGATCTTCTCTAATTGTTTCTTTGATTTAGTTAACGTAATTTCAGTTTATTTAAGTTTTAAAACTTAAATAAATTAAA